GTTGCTTAGTTGCTTAGAGTTGCAACTCAGAGGCCGGCAAGTGAGGCGGGGAACGTTGGAGACTGCAGTCACTGAAGCATCATGTTCGCATGCTCAGCTGCCTGACACTCCCCTGGCCCAACCAAAATCAATTGTTCAGTAGCTGAGAAACAATATCGCAGCAGATCTGAATGATTATCCTCTTTGTTTTGGATTTGACATCATTAATGACACCTTGAAGAGGTAGAAAAAGAAATACAAATATAAGAAAGAAAAAGAGCAAACACATAACTTTTCCATGTTGAACAGCATAAATGAAATAATGTTTATCATTGTAATAATTTCTGTGTATTTTAAGGTAGAAGAGTCCTTAAGAAATTCTGATGTATTAAATCATTTTATCTTTCTAAGATTTAGGACATTTGTGTGAGTTTGAAATTAACATCAAAATGTTTAAAAGAAATTTATAACATAACATTTTGAAATTTATTAGTTGTATAAGTAGTGTTTAAATTTTTTAATTTAACAGATTTATAAATCAATAAATTGAAAATTGAAATAATTAAAATTAGAAGCAAATGTTCTTTCCCTCAAAGAAGCCCAGACCTTATAGATTTCAGCTATGTCTCTCCCTCTTCTCTGTCTAGCCTCCTTCCTATAGTGCACACACATAATACTATGACCCTAGCCCAGCATTTGGAGTACATTGATGTCACTAAATTTACACTATTACCCCCTTCATGTTCTCACATGTCTCCTTCCTGGCTTACAGTCCATAGTCCATAGAGGTTGAGTATTCTTAACCAGTTAACTGCCATGCATCCAAAGACACTTTATCTCGCTTCTATAGATACTTATGGCATACAAAGGTTTAATAGTCAACATAAGATACTTGTTCAAAGTGTTGAATTGTGGGGAGGCTTTATACTTTGGGCCTCTTTTGGTAAAAAGTATTTCTTAGTGGTGCCCTGGCTGGTGTGACTCACTTGGTTGGAGCCTTGTCCCATACACTGAAGGTTTCAGGTTTGATTCCCAGTCAGGGCACATACCCAGGTGTGGGTTTGATCCTCGGTCAAGGCGCCTGCAGGAGGCAGCTGGTCGATCTCTCTCTCTCTCTCTCTCTCTCTCTCTCTCTCTCCCTCTGTGTCTCTCCCCCCACCCTCCCTCCTTTCCTCTCTCTAAAATTAATAAAAAAATAAGTATTTCCTGGTAGATTTTTTTCAAATTATTCCCACTCTGATGAAATAATAGCCTTTATTGAAAGCTAGCTGCAGTATCTCAATCTTCACAAACCTATGAGGACACGTAAGTACTAGTACTGTTATCTCAGTGCACAAATGGGGAAAACAGGTTTAAAGACATGCCTAAGGCCATACAGCAGAGTTGGGATTTGACTCCAGGACCCCAAATCTCAACCATTATTGTGTTTCTTCTTCCTGTTACCACTGAGGTACCTGGTAAAAGATGGGAGCTTTCCACAGCCAGGTGCCCAATTTCCATGTAAATTGGGATCCCAAGATATTGTCTTGATATGCAAAATGGGTTTCTTGTCATTGCCCCAAGTGGGCAGACTTCTAGGATTTTCCATTGCCATGAGCTAATGTGATTTTTCACTAGTGAGGGTAATCCCAACATGACTGCTGTACTGTGAAGAAATGAATCATTTGCATCTCCAGGTATTATGTGAACATACTTTTTTCCTTGTAGGTCAGACACATTTTGTGTGAAAAACATGGAAAAATCATGGAAGCCTTGGAAAAGTTAAAGTCTGGAATGAAATTCAATGAAGTGGCCACACAATATAGTGAAGATAAAGCCAGGCAAGGGGTATGGTGCTAATATCATTTACAATGATCTTTCCCCCAGCAGTAGGGATTATTGCTATGTTATGCCATTAATTTTAGCCATGTCTTGGTTTAAAGATCTTAAAAACAGAAGTGTCCAACTTGTGGACAGATGAATACAGGTCACCTATATCTAAATCTAGGCATGACCAAATTTGCACAGCTGACAAATACCCAGCAGCATTGTGAGTGCTTATATGTTCAGTGCAGGCTGGACCTCTTCCACCCAATTGTCTTTGTCTAGCCTACTTCTTTACAGCCCATATGAATAACCTAGAAACCTTAGCATTCAAGGTACAGTAGAACTGTTCTCTCTTCAGAGCCGCTTGAAATCACATATCTTTTGGGTTTTTCAGGGCGACTTGGGTTGGATGACCAGAGGGTCCATGGTGGGACCGTTTCAAGAAGCAGCATTTGCTTTGCCTGTAAGTGGTCTGGACAAGCCTGTGTTTACAGACCCTCCAGTTAAGACAAAATTTGGATATCATATTATTATGGTTGAAGGCAGAAAATAAAATTGTATGGAACACTGAATATGTTTTATACATTCTGTTTATTTCTTTAAAAGGTACTGAATAATCCTTGAATGTTATTAACTCTGTCATTGTGGGTTTGTAAGGGCAAAATTGCTGTCAGAGAAGAGGAGGGGACTGGATGAAAGAAGGTGAAGGGATTGGCCAAAGAACATATATGCATAATCCAGTGTGGTTCCAGAGGGAACGGGGGTGGGGACTGGGTGGAGGAGGGCAAAGAGGGGGAAAATGAGGACATCTGTAATACTGTCAACGATAAAAAAAAATCAGGCGTGTAAAGGTTTGTATACACTACAGTAGGTATTCAGTTGGTGGTTCTCAATGTTGAGTCAAGCAGACCCTTTTTAATCTGTCGTTCCTTTCCTCCCAGTACTAATTTATCTGATTCTCAGTATATGCCATAAGTTAATTTAGAAACCATCTCTAGGGGAGCTAAGTGTCAGCTCACACTATTCACACATTGAACTGGGCCTAAAAAAGACAGATTAGGCCCATCCAGCATGGCTCAGTGGTTGAGCGTTGACCTATGTACCAGGAGGTCACGATTTGATCCCAGGTTGTGGGCTCAGTGCCCAGTGGGGGGCATGCAGGAGGCAGCCGATCAATGATTCTCTCTCATCATTGATGTTTCTATCTCTCCCTTCCCCTCTGAAATCAATAAAAATATATTTTAAATAATAATCCTATTTAATAAAGGGTGAATATGCAAATTGACCATCACACCATAACAAGATGGTGGCCCCCACAGCAGAGGCGTTGATCCCATAACACAAGATGGCTGCGCCCACAACTGAGGCCAAGTTCCCTTAACGAGCAATCAGTAGGAACCTGAGGCTGCATGGCGCTGGGCTGGGGCAGGGGACCTGAGGCTGCGCCCACCACCACCTGGTGGGGCTTGACAGGGGACCTCAGGCTGTGTCCCCCACCCGGCAGGGCTTGACGGGGGACCTCAGGCTGC